CTGAGAACTGGTAGCGGAAATTTTGAGTAGTTTGGAGAATCAGTAGCGGAAATTTTGAGTAGTTTGGAGAACTAGCAAATGCCACTTCTGGCTGGTCCCAGAGTGGGGAGGGAATGGAGATTTTGCAGTATCCTTCCCCTGCCATGCCCACCAAGCCACACCCACAGAACTGGTAATAAAAAAATGAATTTCACCACTGCTCTCAACCCTGCTCTTTCCTATTCCAAATGTGCACCCCTCCATTTTCTTTGGCAGATGCAGCATAGAACTTTACATTTCTCTGTTAAATTCCATGCCATTGATTTCTGTTCATGGTTCAAGACTGTCTGTAGGTCTCTTCACTCTTTCATCTACAGCAGTATTTCTTAAACCTTTTCCTTTCAGAAGCACTTTCCACCTTTTTAAAAGTTAGGATAACCTGAAATAGCTCCTCAATGATGAAATGTTCATCTGATAAACAGACAAACCTGATTGGTACAGGAAGATTTCCTCACTCCAGGAAAGAATGAAACCAGATATGGGCACACGTTAAACAGGAGTCACCTTGAATTTTCTCTTTTTCCTGCAATCTAACCACCTTGCTTGAAAGGGAGTTTTTGGAAATTAAAACACCTGCAATGGTTTCATAGCTGTACAGGTGTAGATCTTTCAGATGTAGATTTTTTTTTCCCTTTAAAGACTGACAAATCTAGATTATTATTATTATTATTATTATGGGAAGAGGCGTGTGTTTCTAAATATATGTCTCCAGTGAGGGTAGTGAACTAAGAGAAAAAAAACTAAGCAAATTACACACACAAAGCTTTTTGTGTCACAAAGTGCCACAAAACAATTGTTTGTAGAACAAGTAGTTCTTAGAAAGGGGATGGCAAACCTATGACATGTGGGACAAGCCATGTTTTGGTGACACGATAGAGTTCACCAACACCGGACAACAACTGTTCTCGAAAGCACTACTCTAAAAATGAGTTTGTTTTACTTTACAGATTAACAGAATCAGAAAGGACCTTATAGGTCATCCAGTCCAACACACACACACACACACACACACACCACACACACCATGTGCCCAAGCAGGTCCTATGCCATTTCTGACAGATGGCAGTTCAGTCTCTTCTTGAAAGCTTTCAGGGATGAAGCTTCCATACCTTCCGAAGGTAACTTCTGTTCCATGGGTTGATTGTTCTCACTGTCAGGAAATTCCTCCTTATTTCCAGGTTGAATCTCTCCTTGTTCAGTTTCCATCCATTATTCCTTGTCTGGCCTTTGGGTCAGAGGTGGGTTGCTCCTGGTTCGCCCTGGATCGGTCAAACTGGTAGTAGCAGCGGCGGAAGGCTCCGTCCACCTGCCCAGACGCTTTTAAGCACATGCGCAGAAGCGTCACGCTCGCACACAAGCAAACCGGTAATAAAAAAAATAGAAACCCACCACTGCTTCAGGTGCTTTGGAAAATAGCTTTAAATAGCTGATCAGTATTTCCAACAATTTCAATCCTCCATTGCTTTAATTTTTAAATAATGACTTTTTTTTTCATTTTGAATCAATGAGACATTGATGTTGAGAAATTGCATTGAGAAATTCTTTCCAGTATTTCTGATGGTCACCAGCTTCTTCTAAATTTATTCTGTCTACACAACCATGGGTTTTTCTTGCTCTTTTCATTTTTGTAAAGCTGGTTAAATTGCTTGATCCATAAAGTTCTTTTTTTCTTGGAGCCAAGACTGATTCTGGAAATTCTTCAAATGTTCCATGGGTTGATTGTTCTTACTGTCAGAAAGCTCCTCCTTATTTCCAGGTTGAATCTCTCCTTGATCAGTTTCCATCCATTATTTCTTGTCTGGCCTTTGAGTGCTTTGGAGAATAGCTTGACCCCCTTTCTCTCTGTGGCAGCCCCTCAAATAGCAATAGCAGTTAGACTTACATACCGCTTCATAGGGCTTTCAGCCCTCTCTAAGTGGTTTACAGAGTCAGTATATCGCCCTCACAGTCTGGGTCCTCATTTCACCGACCTCGGAAGGATGGAAGGCTGAGTCAACCTTGAGCCGGTGAGATTAGAACCGCTGAACTGTAGATAACAGTCAGCTGAAGTGGCTTGCAGTACTGCGCCACCTCGGCTCTGGAAGACTGCTATCCTGTCTCCCCTGCTCCTTCTCTTCCCTAGACTAGCCATGCCCGGTTCCTGCAACCGTTCATTATATGTTGTATTTCATTTTTGTAATTATTTGACATTTCTTTATATAATAGATAACACCACATATGATTGAACTGTATTTGTTTAAAATAAATAAATATGTAAATAATTGTGTATCTTTCGTTAGGGGAGGGACATATCAGCAGAATCAAGTGAGGCATTTTCTGAATTTTTGACACGCGGAGGCCAAATGTTTCACCATCACTGTCTTAGCTGGTTGGTAATGAGGGTTAGATACAATCCCTCCCTCTGGGGTCCATTGCAACTCACCTGCTCCAGGTAGGATACTTTAGGAGCTGCCCCTTTGAGGTCCAGATGGACTAACCGCATCTGCATGGAGCTGAAATCGCGGTGGGGCAGTTTCTTCAACTCCGGGCCAGGCGCTCCGGCCGCTGCCTGCCGATCCAAGTGCCCCACTGATCGAGCCTGGGTGTTGCCTGGCTGTTTCATGTCCTGCTGAGCATTGCCCCAGAAGTGGCTTTCCCCGCTAACTTCCCTGCGTTGGTCCAGCGTAAAGCTGCAATGAGGAACAGAGAGGTGGCTCAGGGCTAGGAAAAATACCCCTGGAGTATTAAGAGTTGAGCAAGGATACAATTTAGGCAGCTCTTGCCATGTGCACGATGTGCAAAGAGACCTGACGAAATTGGAAAGAGTGTGCATAATACAGATAGTCCTCGACTTATGACCTCAACTGAGCCCAAATTTCCCATTGCTAAGCAAGTTAAGTGAGTTTTGCCCCATTTTATAGTCTTTCTTGCCACAGTTGTTAACTGAATCACTGCAGTTGTTAAGTTACTCATACGGTTGTTAGGCACATCTGGCTTTCTGGCTGACTTTGTCAGAGGTCGCAAAAGGTGACCCTCATGGCACTGTCAATTGCCAGCCTCTGAATTTTGATCCCTTGATCATGGGGATGCTGCAGCAGTTGTAAGTGTACAAAATGTTTTTCTAATGCCACTGTAACTTTGAAGGGTCACTAAACAAGTGGTTGTAAGCCGAGGACTGTCTGTACTCCTTTGTTTCCTTGTAGCCATGCTGGACAGATAGATGCCAGGGCAATGTTTCTCAAACTTGGCAGCTTGAAGAAGTGTGGACTTCAACTCCCAGAATTCCCTGCTGGCTGGGCAGAGGTGGGCTGCTGCAAGTTTGAACCGGTTCAAGTGAACCAGTAGTTCCGACTAGCGGTTGGGCCCACCCACCCACCCCGGCGCTATTTTTTCCTGTATAATCATGTTTTTGATGCCCTGGGTGCTCTCATATTTTCGGTTCTGGGCGAAACAGCTGTTATGTTATATGATGCCCACCTCTGTGGCTGGAGAATTCTGGGAGCTGAAGTCCACACACCTTCAAGTTGACATGGTTGAGAAACATTGGGCCAGGACAATGGAATACAGCACTCCCAAAATTCCTCTCTCTCCCTAGTATGCAGAACACCCTTCCCCAAGCTGGTACCTCTGAGAGAGGTGGCCTCAACCTGGCAGAGAACTAAACCTCTGCTCTCATGGCAGAAATCATGTTTGGGAAAATGCTGTCCTCTTACAACCTGCCCTACAACAACCCACGTTGTCATTTCCCTACCCACAACATTGGAGACATGGTGCAAGATGGACAAGTTAGCAGCATGAGAGCCCAGCAGGAAGCAAGTCCTAGAAGGGGATCAGGGAAAGGGGCTGTCCAGTCTCCTCTTGAAAGCCTCCAGTGACGGAGCACTCACAACTTCTGAAGGCAAACCGTTCCACTGGTTAATTGTCCTCACCGTTGGGAAATTTCTCCTTGGTTCTAGGTTGGAAGGATCCTCCCCCAACGTTATGCAGACCCAAACCCATTTTTTTGCATGGCACATTCATGTCTCATTTTGATAAGAAATAAACCCACAAGAGATTAAAAATATAACATCTAAAATATGATAAGCATATGTCTGGGTAACAGATATAATTTTTTGCTTCATTTGTCACATCTAGGAAATCAGCCAAAAGGGAGATCATCTGGAAGGGCTGATAAAATCCATCCTACCCGGAGCACCGCAGAGGCTGCCGGAAAAGTCTGTGCCCTCCAATGCCCAGCACCAACCTGTCCCGGAAGAAGAACTTGATGCCAGCCAGTGCCACCGTCAGGAGGACCGCGAGACGCAGCAGGTTCAGCTTCTGGCTGCGGTGAAGCGCCATCCTGCCAAAGAGAAGGGGAGCAAAAGGAAAATACCAAGGATTGACCAAGAGTCCCACCCGAGGTCAGCTGAGGACCCTGGCACAGAAGCCAACCTTCCCCACCAGGTGCTCTTTACAGATACATCTTGAACTGCAGCTCCCATATGGGCAGGTGCATCACAGCCCACCGAGCGGGAGTTCTAGCTGGCTGGCAAAGTTAAGGAAGGGTGCCATCCTGAAGAGTGACCTACTGGATCTGACCCCTACTGGAGACCTGAGAACTGTGTGGGAGCTTCTCCAGCACTTACTGATTTACTTACTTACACACTTACTTATTTATACTCTGCATTTATTATTTTTACAAATAAGGCAGCAAGCGTATCCAATATATCTTCCTTCTTTTCCACCCCCAACAATAATCCTGCGAATTGGGTTGAGAGAGTCACTCGCCCAAGGTCAACCAGCCAGCTTTCGTGGCTAATATGGGAATAGAACTCAAACTCTCCCAGTTTCTAGCTTTCTGCCTTAACCACTGTGCCAGGCATGTCAAACACAAGGCCCAAATCCAGCCCACGATGTGGTTGGATCCATTCCGGGGGGCTGTCCTGGTCTACCCAATGAGAAGGGGAAACATACCAGCAGTTTGCGGAGCGGCATCAAGCTGCCATGTCCACACAGTTGGCTATGCCCACTGAGTTGGCCACACCCACCCCAACCCCCTGAGGTCGATCACAGTCCTGACACGGCCCTCAATGAAATGGAGTTTGACACCCCTGCATCAGGGGTGGGTTTCAAATTTTTTTACTACCGGTTCGGTGAGCATGGCTAGAAGGGGAGGCATGTGACTGAATGAGCGTGGCCACTTTGATGTCACTCACGCACACTCAGTCTCATGAAGCCCTCAGCAAGCCATGCCCAACGAAATGGTGGTGAAAAGTTTTGACAGCTGGCTGGAGAATTCTGGGAGTTGAAGTCCACAAGTCTTAAAGTTGCCAAGTTTGAAGACCTCTGATCTAAGTGGAGAGATTGCAGAGGAAGGGATTACAAGAGAATAAATTATGCTGGCTGGAGAATTCTGGGAAGTCCACAAGTCTTAAAGTTGCCACAGGCAGCTCTGTCCCAGGTCTTGGGATGGGTTCCTGTAATTTTTTATCCAATTAAGCAGCTCCTTCCTGAAATTGCTTCCATTATTGATTTTTCTTTTTCTTTTAATGTTTCAGGCCACCCAGAGTTTTGAAGTAGAACTCCTAAACTGAATGGATGAATGAGAGAATGAAAGGACCAATTACCTG